CGGAAGGACGGTGTAGAGGTGTGTGTGTGTGTGTGTGTGTGTGTGTGTGTGAATGTGTGACATGTTGAGAAATATGTGCGTGTGTTTGTTTCTTTTATTATTTTCTTTTCTAGAGAGCCAGGGAGAAGAGGGATTGGTTGTCAGGTGGGCATCCATGTGAACTGGGGGGAGGGTGGACTCTTTAGTTTTTACCCTGGCATTGATTTTTGTTAGGATATTAACATTATTTTTTTATAGGAGCCCTGAGATTTGGGTTCAGGAATCATTGGAAGAGGTGGGTGGGGGGCGTCATTGAGAGGGAATTTCTGTGATATTGCAAAACGTTGCTGAAGAAGAATATAGATTTTAATGACTACTCCCACATTTACCCATGTAAAATTCTTTTTCTGTGTTATTCTTTTTTTCTTTATTCTGGTTAATTATCCCAACATGTCAAATCCCAGCCTGTGCATTTAAAAATATTTCTCTTTTATATATTGACTTATCATGCTAATGTTGGGTGCATGAATAGTTATTGGATGGGGTTTGAAGGGGGGAGGGTGGGGTGTAGCAAGAGCCTTGACATAAGCGAGTGACTGTTTTATTTTATTTCCTTTTCTGTTTTAATGAGTGTATGGCATCAGAAGATCTATATTAATATATTGTACGTAGCTTGAATTGTGTGATTGCATTCTATTTATTTTGTATTATCATTTGGTTGGTTGATACTGGAGGATTGGAAGCATGTGTCCAAAAAAAAAACACAAACCCATTTGTAGGAAACCCTTAACAATATTTAAACATTTTGCTCCATTTACATATGCATTTTCTAGAATTATAAGTCCTGATGGGGTAGAGTCACATTAGATTGGGCTGAAAAAAATCTTGCTTTTCAGAATCAAAGCACAAGAACGTTCAGTTTCTTCGCACAAACACACAAAAATTTGCAGTTAGCGTAGGATCCTTGGTGCTGTACGGAACCTAGCAGGCCTGTTGTTGCTAATGCACGCCAGCGATGAACTATTATGACCTTTTACCTCAGAGTCGCAGAGCTTTGAGAGCAAGGTATTTGTCACCACCAGCAGACCATTGAATGATGCTAATGGAACCGGCTAGTAATATGTTTATTAGGTGACGCCTTTCCAGTTCCAAGACATGTATTTACAATTAATACCGCTGTGCTTATGATGTCATAGTGGAAAATGCACACACTTCTCCTAACAGATAAACGTTGCATGCTCACACAGATATTAGGCCAAATGCAGTGTTTGCTAAAGCCACATTTTACATTGCTACAAGAATGTAAAACAAAACAGTGTCCCGTTGCACGGGCGAATGGAGCCTGCTATCCAAACGAACGGGTTTCTTCTATTATCTAATGTAAATATTATATGGCTACCATTCTAAATAGAATGTTTAAGGTTTTAGAAAGAAGGTTCAGAAGGGAAAAAACGTCCGTTTCGTGTGTATGTAGTGTTTATTAACTATCCATAGGTAAGGAGAAAGATGCAACGCGGTGTTCTCTGTCATCCTTTGAGTGAATCCTGTATCTTTGTGCTGGTTGTGTTTTTAATTACTACTTTGTTGTTGTAAAAGGGCTGAAACAACCATTTTGTATTTATCCTTAATGTTGTCCAGCTATCTTCCCCTGTGATGTCTTTGGATGTGCACATTTTTCCATGATTCATATAATACAACCCCTTGATTTCACGACTTGTTGAAAGCAACTTGGTGGATGTAACCGATTTGAAGTCCTGGTAATGACCTTGCTGCTTTATTAAGGAAATAACCTGAGCTTTAATTAGCACCGTCTGCGATTGCAGCATTATCCTCAGTGGGGCTGCCAGCTCAAGAGGGCTTTTGTGCAAAGCAGGTGTCGGTGGCTCAGAGTATTCACGCCATGCTTGGCTGAGCCGGCATCCTGACAGCCTTTTAATGAGGGTTGGGATCTCACTCTTTCTGTCTGCACCATTTGCTTGAGGATAATCCTACCTTTCTAGGGTTTAAGTGTAGGCAGGCATACAGACATGTGAAAGGCGGTGTGTGGAAATACTGGACTCCTAATTTCTAGTGAGATTGTTGTAGTGTGTGTGGTGGGCACAAAACTGTGAATGTAGTCAACTGCTTGACTATGAAGCTCCAGTGGGTGGAAAGCCAGTTGGTCACCTCTAATGTTGCCTTCAGTGTCTTATCAGATCATTGGCACTATATGCCAGTGCATTATCCCTTCTATGCTAGCAATGATTAACTGTCCTCATTGCATGTTATTGAGCAAAATAGTGAAGTGACGCAATTAAAGAAGAATGCCTTGATTTTGGTGAAGCTGTTGAGATTTAATTTTCTCCCTGTAGTTCATCAGAACATTCGGATGGGTGACGCGAGTTTCAGCTCAGGCGTGTTCGGCAGTACATTAACCAGCATTCATGGGTTAATTTAGCAGCGTGCCCAGTCCCCCAGAGACACCACCAGATACCTTTGTTTTCTTTTGAAATTTAGGATTGTATGATGTGTATGAGTAAGTATAAAACCAATAAAATCACAAAGTTTATTTTAAATTTACACAGTGTTTTGTTGTGCAAATACTTTTCCAGAACAGTTTTTAACCAGATGGGGCTCGGCAAACTTCCAAAGGTCCTCAATAAGTCTTAAAAGTATTTTATTAACAAATAAAAGGCTTAAAAAACTAAAAGGTAATGTACAAAACAGAGGTATGGGATGGGCAACTTCGGTCCGGGAGGGCCACTGTCCTACAGAGTTTAGCTTCAACCCTAATCAAACACACCTGAAGAAGCTAATCAAGGTCTTCAGGATTACTAGAAAGTTACAGGCAGGTGATTTTTTTTTCAGGGTTGGAGCTAAACTCTCTAGGACAGTGGCCCTCCAGGACCGAAGTTGCCCATCCCTGTATTAGAGGTATCAACTTAAATAGGACAACCTTTGAATGTTGTCTTGGATAAAGGGGGACTTGAAGTCAAAAAAGGTTAATAACCACTGATCTACACTGTTAAAATTAAAGGTTCCAAAAGGGGTGTTTTTGTAGCGATGCAATAGACCTTATTCACAGCAGCGCCATCCTTGGTTTTTAATGAGAATGAAAGTGAGGCTGTGAGGTATAGACGTAGGCTACATCTCTTCAGTGGGTTGTACTGTTATTTAATGTGTTTTTGGATTGTTCTGCTGATGAAACACTGCAAAAATATATTTCCAAGACATTTCAGTTGACAAAAAAAATTAGCTGTGGAAAATTGTAAGTGATCTAGGAGCTTTATACTGCTTTTTACAACGGATGCCATTGAAAAAACACGGTAAGTCTATCCCTCACAGCCCTGCTTTCATATCTGTCATGGCGCTGCTCTGGATAAGGTCTATAGAAGAGCCATTTTAGGTTCCCTTTGAGACTCTTTCTTAAAAGAAGTGTTTGTGTGTGTGAGTGAGAGAGAGCAAAAGAGAGAAAAAATAATGTTTCTATAATATGAAGAAGACCCTTTTCCCACTATAAAGAACCTTCTGTGCAATGGAAATGTTTCATGGATGTTAACGGTTCTGCATGGAACCATCAATGCCAAGAAGAAACATTTATTTATTTAGTGTTGTGCATCTGTTTTGCTGAAAATATACTTGAAGTGAATCTAACTGTTGTACCTTTGCACATACAGCCCACATGACTCATACTCATGGGAAACTTGGAAATAGTTGACTCCAGGAAGTGGTGTAGGTAATTACTGATCACCCACCCAACTTTAGCTGAACATCTCTTAGCCCTCCTCTGACATTTCTTCAAGCAGAATGTCCTTTCATGCTGTGATATTGAGTAAACCGTGAAGATGTCCCGTGTCTGCATATTAATCACCATGTATTATTGCCACATTGGTTGCTGCCCACCACACAGACTGTCAATGTGCACTTGTGTGGTTTTTAAGTCTCCAGGTTTAAAAGGGTTAACACTTGTCTGTTAGATTTAATGTTACCACATGATTCCATTGTATTAATTTGGTTGAGACAAATTACAGCTATGGAACCTTAAAAAGAGATAGCCTATACATAGCCTACTTTAAACTTATTTTATTTTTGTCAAGACAGTAGTGTGTAAAAAAAAAAAAAAACATTTATCATGTTTTTCTTAAGTTTAATATATGTTAGTATATAATACTTAAATTGTGGTCATTGTCTTAAGAATAATCAGTGTATTGTGTGACTTGGAATTAAATGGTTTAGTATATAGAATACAAATAGGCTATACAACTTTATTTAAATGGAAGAATTTGGTATTTCTCTCGCATGATTGAAATCATCAGCTGTCTGGCAGATTTTACAAAGCTACGACAGCAGATCTGACAGAAGTTCCTTGGATACTCCTCCCGCTATGTCACGTCAGCGTAATTTCCGGATGCGATTCAGTAAAGAGCAAAGACGTTTTAACAGGAGGCACATCGTCCACTCTGCATGTTTTCCGCACTGAAGTAGCGTCGAGTCACCTGCTACTCAGCGGACCTTCTGATTGGTTACATGCCTTCTGACAGTTTGCTTCTATTTTATTATTTTAAAAATGCAGAAAAGATACAAAGGTTCTGTATTATGTTTTTGATTGTAAAAGTGTACACAAATTCTGGAAAGATTGTACATGGGCTACTGTGAATATGATTGTTTTTGTAAATACAAAAATAATAATTCTGATTGGTTAATTATTTCTATATTCACGAATCTATGTAAATACAAATATAGCCTATTCTATTTTATGGCTTGGTAACTTACGATCTCTTAATTAAATGAATCAAGAATGAGAACAATTTTATTTATTTTATTACATTTGTTTTATTTTGTGTTTTTTAAGTTTGCATTTAGTTTTTTTTAATAAAGTATATTCATTTATTATACAATATCATGTTTGAAAATACCAGTTATTATTAATTTTATCCTTAAACCCAACAGGTTTTTAATCAATGTCTACTTACTATTTCCCACCAATAGCGCCTGTCACTTCAAGCAGTATCACTGTGAGACGCAATGAAGAGTGGGAAGACTAACTAACATCTTTGACTGGAGTGGAAAAAACAGTTCTATTAGCATATACCAGCAGATTATTATTACATGTCAGGACGGTAGCCGGAAAACAACTCGGAACGACAAACCAGAAATTGAGTTTTATTCCTGTAGGGCTCTGCTTTTTATTTGCGGATGAGACATGTCCTCGGCGGCGTCCAGGCCTTTATTTGTTATCTGAGAGGAGTCGTAGCTGACTGGCTAGCTGGCTAACTCCTCCCTGCCCCTCACTACGAGCTAGCTACTTAGCGACAGAGGTGTGAAAATATAAAGAAATCCGGCTTTGGCAGGCTGTGGTCAAGAGAACGACACGTATGTGGAATATATATTTATATATTCATGTGTTTGTTAGCAATGTAGTGTTCATTTGGAGCTGAAATGAGGTGTACATTTTGTGTTAGCGGTAAGCGGGTCTGTTGGGGCTGATGTGACCACTGGTGGATATTTTACATTGGAGCCTTTTAAACCGGCAATATCAATATTTATATTTGTAGTCTATACAGTGTCCGATAGCAGATAGACTATCAGTTTTAAGCTAGCAAGAAAAGTATAGCTGGGAGATAGGTTTACTGGATGCCTGAGTTAATTCTACCTGGGTATTACTTATTAACTAGCCTATTTGTTTCCTGTTGGTGCTTTTTGCCCGTTTAAGTCGTCGTAGAGAATTTAGCACAATAAATGTATAAAAGAGAAGCTCCGTCATAGTTTTGGTTTTGCAAAGGTGCCTGAATGTATTATAATTTTTAAAATTAATGATCTCTCCTTAAATTGGATGTTAAATTAGTTATTTGTGTGGAAAAAAAAAATTCAAACAAAGAAATCAGCAGAACTTCTGAGAAATATCAATAAATTGATGTACAGTCACATGAGATCATACCAGTCTTCTAGAAAATGCTGTTTAATCGTACTGGGAGGGGGTCGTGCCCCATGGGTGCCGCCATGTTGAGATCACATGACAAGTGGTGGCATATAATAATAATAATAATAATAATGTATTATGCTTTCAGTCAGTGCTCAAGGTAGAAAGCATAATCATAGAAGTACATCCAAACAAAACTAGCAATATAACACCAAACACAATTAACATAAAACAGAGCCCAGTTAAAACTGAATAAGTATAAAAATACATAAAATGTTTTGTGTTGAATATGTTTTGAACATGATCTCCTGTCTTCTTTCTTGCAGTTGACAATGAATGGCCTTTCTGTGAGTGAGCTGTGCTGCCTGTTCTGTTGCCCCCCCTGCCCCAGCCGCATCGCTGCCAAGCTTGCCTTCCTGCCCCCTGAACCTACCTATGCCCTCCTGCCCGATCTGGAGGCCGGGCCGGTACCGGCCGGACCAACGGGGACGTCAAGCTTGCGCTCCCGGGGAGGAGGTGGCGGCAGTGGTGGGAGTTCGATAGGGGGGGTGAATACCACTGGAGAGGGGCGCTGGAAGCTCCACCTCACAGAGCGGGCAGAATTCCAGTACTCCCAACGGGAGTTGGATGCCACGGAAGTGTTCCTGACTCGCTCTAGTCGGGGAAACAAAGTGGGCTGCATGTATATCCGCTGTGCCCCCTCTGCCAGGTAGGATTGGACACATTTTTGGATTAGTAATAGGGGCTTTCGCACCAGGTAGTTATAGGAACTTAGTTATAGGAACTAGCCACCAGGGCGGTTCCGAAAGTTCCGAGAACTAAATGTTCCCCTAGGGCCATTTTCCTGGTTGCATTCGCACTGCCAGTAGGAACTCGTAAGCCTAAGTTACGTAAGCCACTCTTGTTGTGACTTTTATTTTGACAGCGCTGAAAACGGCAGAGCCTGAGCACACAGCGCTCCCATTTCGTCTTCATTAGTATACAATCTGTTTAACAGTCCTGTCTGTACATTATTGGATGGAACTGTTAAACAAAGAAAGTAAACCGTATATGTGTTAGCGTTTGCCATGTGGTTGATGCCCAATGTTGCTAGCTGAGCAGAATCATGTTACGCCTGGTTAGGGATGGGAATTGATAAGATTTTATCAATATCAATGCCACTAACGATTCTGCTTATCGATCCAATTCTTTAACGATTCTCTTATCGATTCCTGATAGCACTGTGAGGGAAAAAGTAGTCTTTTTCGGGGGAAAAAACAAGTTGTTTTATTTGTTTTAAAGCTTACACTTGACTAAGCAAACTGTACTTTTTATGTAATAAATGGAACCTTATTGTAAAGTGTTACCGATTAGTTATACACCGATTAAACGCCCCGTGAGTTCAGTGTTGGAAAGATCATTTGTTTTAACCATTCATTAAAACGAATCGGTTCAAATGAGTAATTAGTTCGCGAATTGGACGTGTCATTATCGGACGTGTGCTCGTTGTGTGATTATCCCGGCAGTTGGGACATCCCACAAGATGTGTGTCATCACAGAAAACATTTCATCACTGGATCGTTTTTTTCGTTTATTTGAAGTGTGATTATGTCAGCTGAATGTGCGGAACACTTTTCAGAGAAGATAAGGCAACGTATTTTAGCACAATTCACACCCAGCGGCAATTCAGGAAAAACAAATCTCCGAATGCTCCACAAAAAAACTTTAGTCTCCCTACCTTACCATCGTGTCGTTTATTTTGATTAATATGTGCGAGGGAGAGAGGAAGACAGCGCTTAGTTTTGAGTCGGTGAAGCCTACTTTCGCCTTGCTCCGAAGAGAGAGAGTGCGTGCGCGCGACCGGGGCTCTCTCGCTCTCTCTCTCTCTCTCTCTCTCTGCTCGATCAGTTTAACATGCGCCCTGTCACAAGCGCAGCGGTTCATCTACATTACCAGAGAGAGACAATTTTACTCACTGATCAAATAAGACTTTGCAGGACAAAGATTAGCTTTGGACGCGGTGCTATGGTGCTTGATAAAGGACAAAAGGGACAGAGCAGGAGCATCGATAAGAGGACTCGTTAACGTCGAGGGCATACAATATCGATGGATCGTAAAATTTAGAACCGGTTCTCGAGTGGAACCGGTTTTCGATTCCCATCCCTACGCCTGGTCCTTTAATGTCGCTTTGGATTTTTTCCTTAGCGTAAAGGTTGAGAGGTCCATCTATCACTGTGTTCGTAGAGTTAGTTTGTGGAGTAAATATATGGGCTATAAACTGTGTGTGTACACGACTTTTTTTTAAATGGCGGGGGCTGGTCTTTTGCGTGTATTCGGCCAATCAGCGTACAATTATGTCACTGGTTGTTCCTATTGTGCTGGGTTAGACCCTACTCTGAAGTAGGAGCTAATTTAGTTCCCATTAAAATCGTTCCCAGTTCCTGTGGTGCGAACACGCCAAAAAGCGGGTACTTCTACAAGTAGTTCTAGGAACTATAAAAAGGTTCCTCCGGTGCGAAAGCCACTAATATTTGGAGGGGCCTTATTTGTAGTTTTCACAATAATATATGTTGAACTCAAAGTGTCACGTTTCCTCTGATGGACCCCCCTTTTCCTCCCAAGGGTCATTTACATTCCTTCATTTTTTTTCATCTTTCCTTTGTCCCATTTCCTGCTTCCCTCTCCGAGTTTGTCTGCTATCTTTACCCAGAAGCCACTCCTTCCTGGACGCATTCTTTCTTTATCACAAGCCACTTTATTCCCACTGTTGTTACTTGTTCCTTTGTTCCTTTATTTCCTCTTTAAGAGTGATTTCCATTGGATGAGTACAGAGGTTTTTGTTGTGCTCGATATTGTGGACGTCTTTTCACAATAGATGTCTTCTCTTCTCTACACAAAGTACGTGTTATTTCGTTTTGAAAGTCTGGATTTGATATCACTTTTGTTATTGTTAACTAAAGCAATTAAAAATAGTTATTTAATTGAAATAAAGCTGAAATTAAAATATGACAGTGACATCACGTTAAGGCCAAGAATGGTAACCCATACTCGGAATAACTGAAATAAGTTTAAGTACTGAAATTACAAAAACAAACTCAAATTAAAATAAATTAAAGCTAAATAGAAATGTTAATAATGACAATGGGCAGTAACAATGAAAATATAAAAGATCATTCAAAATATTAATAAATACTTTAATGGTATATAATTCAAATTCAATGACACTGTTTGATATACAGCCAACCGTGTTTTTTGCCACCCAGATTATTTGAAAATAATTCTACACACATACACACCCATGTTAGTTATGAAACCATTCCCTGGAGCGTATCGGGCTCAGTGCTCACTTGCAGATGTGTCTACATGCAGTGAATCAGCGAATGAAATGATAGGTTATTAAGTCTCTTTGTGGATCCGTCTTGACTTAGATGTTGAGTCAGACGCTGATATAGTGTAATGAGCATACTAGAGAGTGACTTTGTACTACAGTTCTCATCACCCTATTTCTCTATCTCTCTCTTCAGATTCACTGTCCTGTTCTCCCATGGTAATGCAGTGGATCTAGGCCAGATGAGCAGCTTCTATATCGGCCTAGGCACTCGAATCAACTGTAACATATTCTCCTATGATTACTCTGGCTACGGGGTCAGCACGGGGAAGCCCTCGGAAAAGAATTTGTATGCAGACATAGATGCAGCGTGGCAGGCTCTACGCTCAAGGTGAGACAATCAATACCAGGGCACAACCAAAACAACTGCATGTGCATAGTAGGGCTCAAGTTTTACAGTGATGCATCTGAATGTATAAATCATTGTAAAAGTTTGCTAGAAATTATTTTATTTAGTAAGCACCCACTTATAATGTTACAATAAATGGCTGTTTCTAATTTCTATTCATCAAAGAATCCTTAAAAAATGCATCACGTTTTCAACAAAAATATTAAACGGCACAACTGTTTTCAACATTGATAATAATAAGAAATGTTTCTTTAGCAGCAAATTAGCATATTAGAATGATTTCTGAAGGATCATGTGACATTGAAGACTGGAGTAATGATGCTGAAAATTCAGCTTTGCATTACAAGAATAAACAGTTATTTTAAAGTGTAATAATATTTCACAATATTACAGTTTTAAATGTGTTTTGATCAAATAAATGTAGCCTTGGTGAGCATAAGAGACTTTCAATAAGAAAAATCCAACCAATCCCAAACTTTTGAACTGTAGTATTAATTTCTATCCTAGATTTTTGCTTTTGCTCATAGTTAATATTCTGTTTTGGTAATGGTAAAGCATATTACTTTGTCATAAAAAGTGATGATTGTTGTGTTTATGCACATTTTCAGCCTTCTTTTGAGGAGTCGATGAGAGACAATATTCATCGGGTTTCCGCGGATCTTTAAAAAGTCTTAAATTAGATTTTTAAAATTTCTGCGCAAATATTTTTACTTATGAAAGGTCTTAAATTTTCGATGGCAATTTGACATAGACATATCTAAATGTTTTCCAAATTAAAACTATCTAATTAGCGTACTTTTTTATTTATTATTCTTTATTTGTGGATTTGCTTGTTCACATGACATTTCGCGTCACATTCGCGGCAGCATATTAGCCTACTTCTGTCTCCTGCACGCGTAACAGGAGGAGAGAAGGAGAAGCAAGTTGGAAAATTTCAGTTCAATTGTAAGGTCATTCTTTGTGTGCGATGTGTATTGTCTATTATGATATTGTAATCACTGTTTTAACGATGTACGACTACGAGGCACTGTGAGCTGGCATCGCGTTTTGTCTCTCGTGCTTTCACTGCGTGATGTGTGCAGTTAGGTTTGTTTCCAAATGAGTTTTTGTCTTATATTTATATCATATTATGTTGTTTATCATACAATATCACACCAGCAAGAGGGACGTTTTCCCGTTAACAATTGCAAATGTGATATTTATTTATAACAGTTAAATGAACAATAAATGAACATTGTGAGTTACATTTTATAAACAAAAATGTCAATATTGTTTTTGCCTTTATTTCGTCGACGAGAATTTCAAAATGAAACCGTAGCAGAGTCTCAATGCAACATATGGCGATGATTTTTTGACTGAAATACGCATTTAAACTAATCAAGTCAATGAACAATCACTTGAATGATGAATGAATCAGCTGTTTGAACAAATCGGTTGAATGAATGACTCCCTCACTTATTAAGACATTAATTTGCCGCTACCTACTGGTGGTTTTAGGGTAACATTTAAAGTACCCTTTAATTAGAACGTTAAAATGAGAAATCAGTTAATATTTAAATATTGAATTCAAAAAAAAAATCTCAGATTTATTTATGCAATTGTAAATGCAGTATAAATATTTTAATGCCAGTTCTGATGCCGCTTCTGTGTCACCTCTGCACTGCAAAGGTGGATTTTGATTTAATGATTTAATTTGACTGGTAACAGTGGTATCGTGTTATTATTCCAATAGAATTTAATTTGAATGTTAGAATTTGTCATAAAAGGTGATGCATACAAATGTCCATATATAGGTGAAAATGCCCCTGAAAATCTATTTAAGGTGGCAAATATTACCCCTTAATAAAAAAAATAAAAAAATGTGTTACTGCTGTGAACTGACCACTGCATAGAATATGAAAAATATGAATACCTTCGTGAGTCAGCTCAGCTGTCAACAACAGGCCTAAACCAGCCATGGCACCAAGCACAAAAACACAATCAGTAAAATATTATCAAATTATTATCAACAAAACTTTGAAAATATCAAGACATATTTTTGTCAATATTGCACACCCCTAATGCACGGTATTAATTTTGATTTCTTCGGGTCTTAAAAAGCTATAAATTTGACTTTAAAAAGTGTGCAGAAACCCTTCAAAGGCAAATTGAAAGCACATCTTTCTATTGTCTTGTCCTCGCTGGCTGCACACAAACATATGATTCGTGAATGACTCTTATAACTCAGTTCGTTTTATTAAATCAGTCAAAAGACATATATATATATATATATATATATATATATATATATATTAGTATTTATCTCCTCATGAGTTGTTGATTTGAATCAGTTGATTTGAATCACTCAATTGGTTGGAGCTTGACTTTCTGAACCATAAGGTATTACTTTCGCCTTGAAACGAGAACTGATATTGTGTTCATTGGTGGCTTGTAAGATTTAAATTGTAGTTATTTACTGGTTCCTCGTATGATGAGGAATGATGGTAAAGATACACTTTAACAAGTCCCTTTAATGGTAATGTTACTAAAAACATTAATTAACCTAAAATAGTATTATTTTTGTTTGAGCATTTTTCTTTAATAGTCTATATAAACCTTTCTTAAAAGTGCTAAAAAATCCTTAAATAAATCCGTAAGAAACCATTCAATAAACTAAATGAACAGAGATCAATTTTCTTTAATTCAGGAATGAGAATTTTCTCAAAGGCTGATGAAAATTCACACTCCACTCAATTTTTTGCAAGCAGTCTGCAAATCGTACTGCTCTTGGTGTGAATAGGCTGTAAATTACATTGACATGAGGCAGTTATTTGTTCGGTGTATGACATTTAATTAGCTTTTGATTCCTCTCCTTCAAACAGATATGGCATCAGCCCAGAGAATATTATCCTGTATGGACAGAGCATTGGCACGGTGCCCACGGTGGACCTGGCATCACGATACGAGTGTGCGGCTGTGATACTTCACTCTCCTCTCACCTCTGGCATGAGGGTGGCCTTCCCCGACACTAAGAAGACTTACTGCTTTGACGCATTTCCCAAGTGAGTGCCAAAAATCATTAGGTTCTAACTTGTCCTCGATTATTTGTGTCGTCTTCCCATTTTCACTAGAGGTCTGACAGGGCTCATCATTGTTAATGAGCTGATGATTTGCCTGGTCATGGCCAGCACAGATTGCTGCTATTTATGAGCGATTCACTGGGTTTTGATTTTGGCGAAAGCAAACGGACTGTGTTATGATGTGGATTGCTGACTGAGATTATACTGAGCTTCTTGTTTTGACACAAAATGGGAATCAGTCTTTTTATTCTTTAAGTTTGATTACAATAATTTTCATTGCATTTTGGCTGTGACCGCAGTGTTGTGGAGCTCAGAGGGAGTTTGCTTGCACTCAGTGGGTGGTGTCATTCAGTGCCAGTGTAGTAGAACACATGGTCGCATACAGCTGCAGTCAAAACCACCACTGTTCTCGCACAAGTGCTGTGTAGTTGGCTGGCAGCTGTTTAGTTTACACACACACACACATTTGAAAATATAACTTGCCAAGATACATTTCCAAAATGTTTTTAGTAGGGCTGTCAAAATTTCTCAAAAATGACTTTCGAATATTCCCTCTAAAAAAAACACATATATTCGAACATCTGGTTGCGCATTTTGTCAATGACGCGCATTATGTCAATAACAGGACAAATTAATACAAAGAGACATAACTACTTGCATAGGAAGTTTATTTAAGTTTAAACATATTTGACAACAACGTATTACCTACACAAAAACAAGTAAATCAACTAATGGCCAAGACCGCAGACCTCTCGCTCACTCGCACTCGCAGGCACTCTTTCTCTCTCTCTCGCGCCCTCACGCTCTCTGCGCATAACAGTTTAAATGAACAACAATAAACAAATGTTGAGTGCTGATCAAGAGTTTTGTGCAAGCAATTTAAGGTCGCGACTCTCGTCCCAAATATAGCAGGCTTCATTCAGTGATTGAAACAAATATTATTAACATTAATTGAAGTTTTACAGTATATAGAACCGACATTGAACGCTCCGAGCGAGCTGTGCTGTGGTAAACATGGAACTTTTCCTTGACATGAAACGGTAAATAATCAAACCAATGGAAGCCTGCATGAAACTGCTGTATTTAACCTACCTTATTCATGCAATATCTATTTAGTCAGTACAGTAAGCCTACACTTTAGTAATGTTCCCTCAGGCAGCGCGCCCACTCGCAGCAGACAGCCGGCCTCTGCTACCGCAGGCGTGTTTTTCCACATTCGAATATTCATTTACACCTTTGAAATTCAGATTTTTAAAACTATTCGAATATATATTCGAATTTAGAATATTCGTTGACAGCCCTAGTTTTTAGTTACATTACAAGTTATTATTGTTGGTTTTAATTATTGTGTACTACTGTTCAAAAGTTTGGAGTTGATGCTGAATTTTCGGCAGCCATTACTCCAGTCTTCCAGAAATCATTCTTATATGCTGATTTGATGCTCAAGAAATATTTCATATTATTATCAATGCTTTATTGATTAAAGGCATAGTTCACCAGAAAGTGAAAATTCTGTCATCATTTACTCATTCTCAAATCTGCATGAATTTCTTTCTTCTGTTGAACACAAAAGAATATATTTTGAAGAATGTCGGTAACCAAACAGTTGATGTACCCCATGGAATTCCATAGTATTTTTTTCCATAATTTTTGGGGGTGCTAACGGGGTGCTTTGGTCTTTCTTGGGGTCTTCCTTTCTAGACCCTCCCTAGCGCCGCCCATGCATATGCCTATCCATTAACGGGCATTTCTTCATAAATATTCAAAATTTTTATTTATGCATTTATGGCAATTTATATATGGCATTATGCATAGTAGAACTTTATGTAGGCCTACACATTTAGGAACAGATATTGGGTTCTGCCCAATGTCAAGCAACATAAAAGTAACGTAAAAGTAACGAGTAACGTAAAAAGTTACTTTCCATATGGGGTAACTAAGTAAAGTAACGGATTACTTTTTTTTAAGAAGTAACGAGTTACACTACTTTTTAAAAGTAACTTCCCCAACACTGACTAGAGCAGATGCGTTTACTCTGATCGGCCTCGGTCACGAGATCCAGTGAGAAGCGCTTGAATTCAGCGAAGAACACAAATGTCTCAGTGATTTAAACCAGTTTAGAGACAGATGAAACAGCGCTGACAAACAGGAGAAACACTGTGCACAACGATACAGTCAGAAAGCTTTTCCGTCTACAAATTCCCATCATTTACCATGGATTTACTGTAACGTTTGCCTAGTATATTAACTGCACCATGAAATGTGGGATATACATATTGAATTGTATTATATTATTAATGTAGACAATGTATTAAAGGACTAATGGAGTATATTTACAGTATTTAATGTATTTAGGCTATAGTGTTTTTCATACATTTCATGAAGATACGTGCCATCAAATCTCAGGCAACACAAACCTGTTTCAAGACTTGAAACAATATCCCCCATTAGCACATGTAGAAACTAAGAAATTTATTTTCCAATAAAGATATTAATTTTGGAAAAATGACAAATGTTTGAATGTTCTACCTCATATTTGTGAAATGTTCACCTGTTTGGCAAGTGGTTGTCATGATATGTTCTGACAATAAAGAGTAGTTTAAAACCACAATTAACGCTCGGGTTTCTACAACTTTCAGTTAGGAGCAAAAATCTGCCTTTTAAACTTGAAAGAAATAAAGATTTGACATTTATCGTGATAATTATCGATATTGATTGATATATTATCGTGATAATTGTTAAGTGTTGTTCCTGTGTTATTGATACTTAGGAAAAGGGAGCCTTCAGTTTGCTACTCTTAAGAAAATGGAAACTTTTAATGAAAGTCAATTAAAAAAAAAGACTTTTGAAAGGAAGTTATTTTTCGTAATTCGTGTAGGTCATAAATTTAAATCATAACGGTCATAAAAAGGTCTTAAAAAGTCTTGGCCGTGTGTCCACCAAAGCGTTTTTAGCCAGCTGAAAACGCTTGACGCTCTGCTGAAAACGCCTAGCAGTGGGCGCTTGAGAGCGTTTTGGCAGGCAGCGTTTTTTCCGTTGAGACGTTTCGTTGCTATGATACAGAATATCCGCAGCACAGTTTACTTGTAACTGATGTCGCAGATAATTTGTTTCATACTGAAAATTAATTTTTCATCCATTTTGTTCGGTTAGCTCTGCTGGTTGATGTCGTTGTACAGAAAGAATGTTGTGAAAGTTGGTCGGTGTGGTATTAGTCCCGCCGCTTCTCCACTGTGATTGGACGGCTGGGTAAAAGTGTGACAATGATGAGCTCTGCGTTTTATCCAAAAGTTGAAAATTGTTCAACTCTCGGCGACCAGTAAAAACGCCGGGCGCTCAGCGCTTCAGCGTGTAAAAAACGCCGAACGCTCACGCTCAGCGCCTCGTTGCGCTCATGGCGTTTAAAAAACGCGGCGCTCCCATTGAAAACAATGGGCTATATGCACGCATAACTTCCGCGTTTGACGCAAGGATGCTCGTGCGTTTCCGGTTGGGGAGATTTAAAGCGCAGGAAAACCGAGGAAAACGGGATTATGGCAGAGTCTTCAAAATTTACTGTCCTCTCGTCTTTGAAACGAAACTTTAATACGTTTAGATGTAATTTTATATATAGTTATGTTTATTTAAAATAATAAACACAGAAGCATAAACAAAATGAGGGGTGTCTGTTTTGTCTGTTTTTGTGACTAACGTTTCTTTAGTATAGCAATAGAGTATAAAAACCAATATAAATTCTCGGTATAGCATTGGACTCTACGATCGGCGGAAGTAATCCAGCATCCTTAGACCTTCACCGGAAATACCGCCGTGCATAGAGCCCATTGAAAACGTACGCCAGGCGCGAGTAAAAACGCTTTGGTGGACACACGGCCTTAAATTTGACTGACTAAACCCTGCAGAAACCCTGTAAATTTCACTTTTGATCAATTTCACGAATACAAATATAAATTTCCTTCAGAATTGTTTTTGTTTGAACGTTAATATATTTTATTACGTATTCAGTTATATTCAATTATATATTAAAATATAAATTTGTGTGACAACAAATTTAAAAGCATAAATAAAACTACTAAAATAGTTCAGACTGTAGCTTTCCAGTAGTGGGCTGTTATCATGCTACTGAAAAATGAGTTGAAGTTGAATTTAATTCATGGCATTTCATTGATCATAAACATCAAGTGTGAAATGAGCTATTCAAACTATTAATGGTTATTTTAATTTACTTTCTGTGTGTGGATTATGTATTTCTTCTAACACCCTGTGTCCCTTTGTGTGTCCCTGCTTCAGCATTGAGAAAGTGTCTAAAATCACATCTCCAGTGTTGATCATCCATGGGACGGAGGATGAGGTGATAGATTTTTCCCACGGGCTGGCCCTGTACGAGCGCTGCCCCAAAGCTGTGGAGCCGCTGTGGGTGGAGGGGGCCGGACACAATGACATCGAACTGTACACCCAGTACCTGGAACGCCTGCGTCGTTTCATTGGGCAGGAATTGGCCGCACAACACGCCTAAGCTCTCCCTCTTCTCCTCCTTGTCATCCCACCATCTCCCAGTCCGAGCGAGAGTGAGATGGATGCATCAGTAACTTATTGATGGCTGCCATTTTGTATGGACAACCTTACTGTCAGAGCAGCTTGACAGATGATCCACTGCTCAGATTTGTTTTCTTAAGTGTTTTTGTTTTTTTCTCCCTCCATTTGTGTGCATGGGGACCCTGGGGGGTGGAAGTGGAATTTATCTGGGGCAAGAATGGATGGATGAATTCCTCTGTCGGATTCAGTCCAAGGAAATAAGCCAGACAGATTCCTGTACCTCCAACCAGACTGTCTTTCTCCATATCTGAGCATTCATCTGTCAGTTGAGTGGTTTGCTTCTCCGACCTGCCCCCATGATGCCTCAGCCTGAGAGATTTTCACTTCCCACTTCTCATCAGGCAACTTAAAATAGCTCAATCTCAGCGCTTGGCAAACTTCCTAGCCTTCCTGACCCTGCAGGATGGAATGAACCGGTTGTTTGGTAGAGGATTTCAGGATTGAGTTTTGAAGCATCCTACACAGGTGCAATGATGCCCACCTCTGCATCTTCATTCTTTCATCTAATCATTTGGCCTTTCCTGGATGGCTCTTGTGGCCAGGTGTGTGGGTCCATTCTCTCTCATATACCCTGCGGGATGCTCACCTCTATGCACTGATGTTCCCTTTTATTGAGTTTTTGCCTTGATGTAAAAGATGAGCTTGGGATAAGATGACACCTGATGATGTAAACCGCTCCAGGCAGGGAAAGATCGAATCCTGGTATGTTGGCTTTTGTTCCCAGCATTATCAATCTATTTTATTTCTCTTTGGTGTCTCTGTCCTTTCTTCTCAGCATGTGAGGGTGTCCATAGCACCCTGAGGTGAAAGAAACTGGGAGGGCTGCTCGGTGATCATCATATTTCAATGAAACCACCACAGTTGGAATGACATGATACGGAGCATATTCACGTCCAGATCCATACATCATGCATCGGAACTGTTGGCCAGTAGAAAGATCAAGGTTTTATTCTCTCGTCGGGACTTTCCTAAAGCCAGATCTTCGGCATATCACTTCCACATTCATTCTCAACTAGTTTAACTTTTAAAATAGATTTTTGGGCCATTAAATGGTCTAATTGTGTAGGGACAAATAATGCACACAACAGTCCCAAATAAAAACAGAAATCACTTCTGAACCCTGTGGCAATGACACACAACTCGCAACCAGTTTTTCCCGTTTTTAGCCTGACGTCAAGAATGTTCCTTTCATGGAAATGTTATTCCTCTCCCTCATTCAAGTCTGATGTGAAGCTATAATCATGCATGTTTACTCTGTCTCTTGATTTATCATTTTGTTTTTTAAGCAAATCATTTCAAAGCATAACACATAATTTAAACACTCCTCTTTGTGAATATAAAGGATTTTCCTTTTTCTTCCCACTTCAAATTGCTAGTTAGTGGCACATGGTTTAATCTAAGTAATGTTCTGACAGCTGGGGGCAGGTTTAAAGATTATAACGAGCAATAAAGGCACAACAATGAGGTCATCTACAAACTATTTTTGTGATGTCATCTCTAGTCAAGCTGCTTCTCTTCAAAGGGAGTTTGTCTGATATGATGTGGACGCAACTATCAGGTTATCTGATGCTTAGAAAGATTGCAAAAGCTCTGTTAAACAACTGTGAATTATCAAGGGAACTTAATGCTACAGATCTTGGCTGAATGGTCTCAATGAAATTAAAGGGCCGAACCCTTCAACCTTTTGTTGTTTTCTGATGCAGCAAAGACTACCAAACCTTTTCAGTGAGAGAAGACATCGCTTCCCCATGCTGGTGGGATTCATTCTTGCCCTTTTTAAGGGATAATTCACCCAAAAAGGAAAATTCTGTCATTACTTACTCACCCTCATGTTGTGGTGAGTAATTGATTTTCTTTCAACCAGACAGTTGACAACACCCATTGACTTCCATAGTATTTTTTTTTTTGCCTACTATGAAAGTCAATGGGTGTCGCCAACTGTCAGGTTAATGACAAAATGTTCATTTTTGGGTGAACTATCCCTTTAACATTGGGGGCTGCACAGTCATTCTGAATTTCGCACAATAATTTGTTTAATTAACTTCAGTATCTTTTTGGGGTATGTTTTTGCAAGATGAATATTCTGATTTTATGGTGCCAGAAAATGTCATCTCTAGATATCCTTTTTTTTTTTTTTTTTGGAAACCTTTATCCATTCACTCCCCTTGGTCTGTTCCTATGTGTGGTTAAACTCATTCCCATTACTGCAAAACACAAAGTGATTATGTATTCGGAAAACAAAACACTGGTTTGTACATAATTTCAAAAGCCTAATTCCAGCAAATCTGATTCCATGTTGAATCATGTACTAAAGTATGTAATCTGGGGTTGGACACAAGGGGGCTTGTTCGTTCTCCATTCTAACCAAAGATGACAGGTGTTGGATTTGCATTGGCCGCCCACTGCCATTTGTCAGCGCTCAGATGTGGATTAGAGCAGGCGGTGGACTTGGGCTGTTCAGACAGAGCCAGTTCTCACACAATACAGGCTGCTGTTGATGCCGCCGAGGGGAAGTTTTTGACTGGACTGTTGGTGTGTGTTTACCTCCTGCAAGACACAAGTGTTTGCAGGGCTGAAGCAATACCAACTTGGAGCCAGCAGACTGGATGTGTGTGTTCTAACAAGAAGGGAGGACGTTGGCTTGAGCAAGTGTTGGAGTTAGCCAGAGACTCCATCCCAACACATTCAGATTCAGCTCTTTTTATTAAGATTTTTTTTTTCTTGTTTAAAGAAAGTAAGTTATAGAAATATCAGATGTATGTACTGTATAACATTGTTTGAGAAGCTTAATCTTGAGGTTTGAGAATCTGTTTTTGTATCTTAATGGATCGGGAGTAAGAGTTATTGGGGTGTTACTGTTCTATCCTTTTATGCATTATTCTAATGTTGTTGTTTTTAGTTTTAAATATGTCTTTTTCCTTTTCCAGAATTAATAAATAAGAGATCTTAGAAAATAAAATTATGAATTGATAATTGTTGTAATTCTCTTTTCTTGTAACTGCACACAGAATTATCACATTTATATAGCAATTATATGGTTTTAATACATTTATTTATTAGAACGGGAAATTATTGTAACCATCACATTTATACAGCAATATATTATATTTATAATATGTATGTCTGTATGAGTTTACTGTATATACACGCACTTATATATTTATAAGTGTGTGTGTATACAAAGACACGCACGTGCACACACATATTTAAATATAATATACACATTATTTAAACAAAAACCTTTGTAAGATGCATTTAATCACGATTAATCAATTTGACAGCACTACTTTTAATACATTTATTTTTAGATTTTAATATTTGATATATTTAGTCTTGAACTTGACATGATAATTATTGTGAATCAAATTTCTTGTAAAATGAAATGGGAAGATTACATTTACATGCTATACATTTATTTTTTATTAAGATTTATTTTAAAGCCTTTATTTTTAAATAAATGTAATGTTTATTCAAACTGAATATATTTATTTATATTTGATGTTTTAATGTTCAGTCTTAAAGTTGACAATATTAATTGATAATTATTGTAAATCTATTTTCATGAAACATACTGTAGTCACATTTTGCATACAATTAATATTTCCATGTATTTAATGCATCTTTCTAATATTTTATAATTTAATATATTTTTATTTTTTCTGACTTTCAAATGTTGAATTATTAGTTATTGTAAATCTCTTTTCGTGTAACTGCACTCAGGAACATCACATTTATATGGTGATATATTTTAAAGGCTGAGCTGAGCTGAACTTCCCAGAATCCTTGGGCTATAAACATCCTCAAGAATCATAAAACGATCGTAGCAGCTGACCTGCATATTAAATTGTGATCCTCAACTTCTGTGGAATAGACATTAAGTCCCAACAATCATTGATGAGGCATTTATAATTCAAGGCACAGAGAGAAACATTCTTATGTGTGAGCGTGTCGGATAACGCTGTTGCCGTTGGCCCTGTTTTGTTTATTCATCATGGAGCTGCATTTCTCTTCTCATCTATGTCGTCGTCTCCTCCAATTCATCAGTTAATGCCAAACCGGTCCCAAGACTCTTGATTTGAATCTTCCTATGCAAAACAAACCAGTACAAGAGTATATGTGTGTGGGTGTGCATAGAGAAAAGAGTCGCAGAGCAGCAACAGATGGGTTCTCTTATTATCTGTAACAAAAAATCTCCAATTATCTGTCTCATTTTAATTATTGCCCTATGAGCTTTGGCATGACCCAGCCTATCGGCAACAGCCACAGTCAAGAGGCGTTAATACAGCCAGATGGGATTTAAGACCTTCTGTTGAACACACATGCCTCTCTCTGAACATGCATGTGGATATGTACACAAAACCTTGTTTCTACAGTCTAATCACACTTGGATTAATCTCACAATGCCCATTTGCTTATATCCAAATGCATCAGTTAAGCTATTAACACATGCTGTAGATGTGATATGCCAAACACATGGAACATTAAAGGAATATTCTGGGTTTACTGGGAGTGTGGCTTAATGTTGATTAGACTACCACAAAATTTGATTTGGATTTGTATTATTTGTTTCGGTAACAGTGAGGCATTTACAATGAAGTTGCGATAGTCTTTTCTTCCCTTGTGACATATATCTTCTTATTCTAAGAAGAGTGAACGGCTTCTCGAACAAGAAAAAGTGTAGAACGTGATTTTGTGCTACTCATTTGTTTTGGATTGTTGGACTGTTGTGGTTAGCTATTGCATAAATGATAGGTTGTCCCGCCCTTGTGCCAGTGAACGCGTCGTCAGAGAAGAGAAGTTGTTGCAAGCAAGAGGGAGGGGAAGTTATACTTTGAATAAAGATTACAAGGAGGTCATATGATTTAAAAAAAAATGATGATGTGAACAGGTAAATCATTAGAATAAATAGCAATATTACATACAAAATTTCGATTTTATGGTGACTTTAACAAATCACAAATGCTAATATGCGTTTAACAGTACAACTTTGTAGCTCAAATAATAAATAAGTTATAAGAAGAATTAGTGGAATTACAATCTAATTTATGCTTTAAATCCCCCCAAAAAGAAGTTTATTCAAAAAGTTATTTCTTTTAAACTAAA